TATAAAAAAAAAATTCAAATAACTATGCAATTCATTTCAAACACGCGTTGTCGATAATTGGATAGATAATGGCCATTCTAATGAATAGGCAACTAGTTCTGAACCATTGTTTGAGAATATAATTGTGTTGAAAAAAAAAATTTGCGGCTGCCTAATGTCTATTAGATTTTATTCTATTAGAGGCTACTGGTTAGCTTAAGCGTTCGAATTTTAAAGATTTGTGTTGTTTACGAACATAGGGTCAATGACCGAGTAAAGTTACAGCGCACAATGTCCCACGACTGGACTAAGAGCTCCTCTGATATATGAGATTATGGAGTAACGAGATCGTTGCATTGCTCCAGTGCATGTTGACGGATTTTAGATTTTTTTGCTGATCGGGACACTAGGATAAATTTATTAAACTATTCTATACACCGGTCCTTGATACGAGTGCAAATTTTGCAAGTCAATCGACCGTCTACAAGTTGGTGAAAATCACACATTAAAAGATTCCGTTACGTAGATACATAGATAGTGTTAATAATTCTATTTTGTCTAAGACTACGTACTCACCGGATCGCAACTTTTTATACTTCTTCCTTGTCATATTTTAAAAGATTACAAAACACACACACATACACAAGCACACATACAAATAAAATCAAAATAGAATATTAAAACGGGGCCACGTAACACACAATTAAACGGGCCCTTCACTAATGTCCGACTGAACTAAATTCAACTACCCGCATTTAGGTCGATAGAAAATTCAGATAAATGTTCAACTACCTTCACACGTATACTTGTAATTCTAACAGAGAATCGTGTTGTGACGGTGTAAGAATATCGACTACCCAATATCGTGCGTTGGGTGTCGTAAGAGGCGTCAGATGGAAACTGAACAGGAGAGGGGCGGCAGCATCTTCCCGATAACAACTTAAAATTATGCCAAACGTCTTAATACGTGTGAATATTATAGTCGACTATAATGTGATAGAACCACGCTGCAGCCATAACATAGCTATAGTCATAATATAGAATAAGTCGGCTTGACCGGGGCAGGAGTAGGAATATTTTTTTATAGGATAGGGTGACAAACGAGTACACAGTCCACCTGATGGTAAGTGCTTGCTGTGACCCATAGACATCTACATCTATCCTCGATCCAAATACAGATACATTGTCAGCAGTGACGACTAAGATGGAAGGCCTCTTTTCCAGTAAAAAGGGTCTCCGGTTCACTACACTGACCATACGAAACAGAGCAGTGTTAAGCTGCTATTTTACGCTGGTATTCAGTGAGAGCGTGATTCTTCCCCGGTCGAGCCGACTCATTCGTGTTACAACTATACTAATAATATAACCGCAGCAGTGGCTCTACCACGTATTTTATACTGTTCCGCTCATAATTCCTTAACTAATCGTCGGATTTTGACGAAAGTTAAACTTTATGACGTCAGCGTTTCATAAATATTTCGAAAATGTATACTATACATAATAACGAGCAAGATGTATCGTGTATACTCGTATATAAACGTATCGTGTGTACATATCACGTTAAAGGTGTTACTTATCTACATTCCAAATATTTATTTATTTATTATTTACTGTACGGCAAAGTACATAATAACGAGTGCAGTTAAATCTTAATTATAATAAGTACAACACGCGGTCTTATCACAATGAAAGTCAATCAATATCAAGCGTTCGGGAGTATATGACACATCTCGTCAGAATTCTCGTCAAAATTGTACCAGCAAGTGTGTGTTGCAAGTGATGACTTATGGATCTGAGACGTGATCCTTTACTGCTGGCTGTTGAGGAAGCTGAAGTTCGTTTACCGAGCTATGGGAGGGCTATGCTCGGGGTATTCTCTGCGTGATAGACTTAAAAATGTAGATATTCGCAGTATATAGCAGATGACAGACAGCCTTTATATGATTTGTATATGAATGAGGTATCCGATCTTTAGTTTATTCAAAACTAGCTATCCGCTAGGGTGATTTATGGATATCGACAACAGCGCCATCTGCCGGGTCCAATTGTGAACCTAAACCCTCCAGGGACCCACTCCAACACACACAAGTACGGGTGTTAAGTGGTAAAAACACACACACACAAAAATCATCAAAATCGGTTGAGCTGTTTTCGAGTTTTAGAGAGACTAACCGACAACAAATGATTCTTATATTTATATAGAGGCTAGCGACCAGCCCAGCTTCGCATACGTGGATTGTTGCGGCCTTTTTACCCGACTACCAAGGAAGGGTTATGTTTTTCGCGCGTATCTTGTATGTTTGTAAATTTATTTATAACCTTGTATCTACCAAACGGCTGGATGGATTTCGACAATTAAGGTATTATTTTATTTGTATTTAAAACCGCAAGTGTTCCTAGATAGCTGTTTGAAAAAAAAATAAACAAAATGGCGGATTTTTGACGCATAATAGTGATACGTTAATAAAAAAACATTACCAAACCTATCGAGTGGAGTATCAAAAAAAAGGAAATTGAAAGGAAATTACAAAAATATATAAGTTATATAAAGTTAAAAGTTAAAGTTACAGCCTATATACACGTCCCACTGCTGGGCACAGGCCTCCTCCCATTTCTAAGAGGGTTTTAGGGCAAGGAAATGTCCGCCGCGCTGCCCCAATGCGTGTTGGCGAACTTCACATGTATTCGAAATATATTTTTTTTCTTATTTGTCAGACATGCAGGTTTCCTCACGATGTTTTCCTTCACCGCCGAGCACGTGGTAAATCAGCACTTAAAATTGCAATTAACAATTTCATTGGTGCCAGCGGGGATCAAACCCGGGTTTCCGCGTACTGTGAAACTTACAGCGGGTGCGAACCATCTGAGCTACCACGGCTCCCTATATAAGTTATACGTTTAAATTTAAAGAAGAATAATGAATTGGTTTAAAAAGTTTTTGATAGCGTAAAAGTGGGCCATGTTTGTGTCGGACCTCGTGCTATCATATGAAATTTAATTCATAAGAGTGTGTCGCGACACTAAAGTGTAAAATAAAATAAATTATTAAAAAATCAAAAACCCGACTGCAAAAAAGTCAATTTAAATGTAATGCACCAAAACCACCGAAACAAGTTTGAGAATAGAAAACAAAATTAAAATAAACTATAAACAAAGTAAACTCTACTTAGGTTTAACAGGCTCTAATATTATGAGTTGAAAGCCTGACTTAAATACCCGCATTAAGTTTAGTAGCAGGCGGGACCCAATTGCAAATTATAAACCGAAAGTAAATTAATGGGTTGCGATCTTTTTGGTGCATTACTTTTAAATTGTCTATTTTGCAGTCGAGTTTTTTTAATTTTTTAATTATTATGATTTATTATAATCATGAAAGACCATCTGTTTTATCAATTTGACGATTTCTGATAGAAAATCTTCAAGGTTTCCGAATGAAGTATATAGCCAAGATCAACCCTGGCTTTGCTCTCTAACTGTTCGCGATGTTTCAGTACAATCGGGTCAAGTCATTCCGAAGAGCCTAGAGAAAGTAATAAAGAAAGATTTTAAAAATGACATATGATTCGAGAATATATACACAGTAGCCTCACAGTTCTTACAGTATGTTGAACGTGTACTTGGCGTGAGACACTACAGTGTCTCCGGATTGTTATTCATGTCTTTAAGCCACTTTAAGGTCAATAAATAGCAGTTAGTTGGACATAAAAGATATTTATTTAATATAAGTAGGTATATATAGATTACTTTCACTTTTAAATGTTTTAAACTGCTACGAAAACTACAAATAATTGTTCCGGATCTGGATGTTTGTCATTGTGCAATTTATGTATGTAAACTGCACCCACGATTTTTTTTAATAAAAAAATATATTTTCTCTTCCCCTTAATCACTTGTCAGTAATATTGTTTAAAATTACAGCATTTACACGGCCCAAAGCTGGCCGTGGACCTCCTCTTGTTTCTCTTAATGAGGGCTAATAATTTTCTACTCACCAGATGTCGCTAGTTGACATTGGGGTGAAGTTTTCCTTATTCAATGTAATTTGATTGAGAAGTTGTTTTTTTAAATAAAAGTTTATCAGTTTCTAGAGTATTATATTAATACACAAAACAATGCGTCAGTGGTTTGCTCTTTAATTTTTTGCTTATATTTAACTTCTTCTAAAATTTTCTCCTTTTAAGAATATCTGTGGTTTGGTTTATTTATTATAAATGTTATTAATATAAAATATAGCAATAATAATAATAATAGTACAGAAAGACACATTATCCCTTTACATTTTTTTCAAATTGACTTCCCCGGTATGAAATCTGTCAAATTTTATACCTCATATTTAAGTGGCGTCGCCCTGGTGGCACAAGAAGTCGTGAATGCCCACATTGTCAGCAATTTTGCTTATAGCAGCTTAATGTGTTTATGTATGGTAAGTATAGAGAACCGGAGACCCTTTTTACTGGAAACGAAGCGTTCCATCTTACTCCTCACGGGTAACGACGCATCTGCATTTTGATTCGTATTTCGAGGATAAAAATGTAGATGTTTATCACAACACATTAATTACAAAGAGCCGTGGTAGCTCAGAGACTAATCGCTCGCTGTAAATGTCACAGTACGCGAGCAACCCGGGTTCGATCCCCGCCGGCACCAATGAAATTGTTAATTGCAATTTTTTTATAAAAAAAAAATTACCATCAATCACTTAAAATATATTGATTAAAATAAACACTATTCTATTCACATACTGATTCTTTTAAAACAGTATGTTTTTCGCAAAACGTTTAAACAACGTTTTTTAAAAGAATAAAAAATAAATAAGGCACCGTGGGGCGGTGGCTTAGCAATGACTTGCGGTGGTGAGGGCCGCGGGTTCCAATCCCGCACGGAACAAGTATTTGTATGGCCTACAAATAATTGTGCCGGGTCTGTATGGTTGTCCATGTGCAATTTATGGCGAAAATTCTGGTGTGGAGTAGGAGGGGGGGGGGGGCGTTTTTAAAAAAGAAGAAATCTTAAATTATTACCTTTCTTGGAAGATTTTACAGAAACCAGTCCATCTTCATTAGTAGCTCGAGCTGGTACTACCAACACCTGGTTCTTCTCTAGAAGCTTCTCCTCAGCTTCGTCCACCCCTTCTTTTCCCTCCAAAACCGAACTAATTGGCGCGCTCGATGCCATTTTGTTTTTCACGCGCGCTATAAAATGGCGGTTACAAGATGGCGCATAACAAACGCTATTCGTTGGGTTTATTCTACGTCAGTGTATAAACATTGCTTTGTGGAATGTATAATATATTCTAAAGCGTCAAATATGGCTACATAGCACTATGTAGGTCAAAAATCAGTCTTCTACTTTGGCTGGCGTTGTTATATCTGAAACAAAAGATAGATTGACATTAATGATCCAGTATTTTTAAACCGCGACGAAAACAGAGAGGTGTTATGGTTTATTTTCTCCAAAGATTTATAAATCACTTACAGAGAAAATACTTATTAATTAAAAACTGTTAATTATTGATTGGCGTAGTGAGTTAGTATTATAATAGGTCGCTAAAACTTAATTACTGATTGAGTGCTTAATAATATGATTAGTAATGACTACCAGGAACAGTGTAGTGTGAATGAATGTGGCGAGTTGTTTGGTGTTATATTATGTTTATAGTGTGTATCTGTGTGTCTTTCTGTGGTATCATATCTCTTGAACGAATGGATCGATTTTGATTAAGTTTGTTTTCTAACGACTTCAAAAAGTAGACGGTACTCAATTCGACTGTGTTTTTTTATGTATCTCATATCTTTTTACTGGGTGAACCGATTACGATGATTATTTTTTTATTTGAAAGCTAGTACTTCTCGTGTGGTCCCATATTTGATCAAGGTCTGACCAATAGTTTTTGAGATATTCTTAATAATTTATATTAAAGTCGGTTGTACGAAATTATTAATTTTAAATTATTTATGTGTGTTATTACCTCATAACTTTTTTCTAAGTGAACCGATTTTGATGATTCTTTTTTATTTGATTTGCTTGTGCTTCTCATGTGATCCTACATAAATTTGATCAAGGTTTGACTAGTAGTTTGGGAGTTATCCTAAATAATTTATATTGAGGTCGGTTGTACAAAATTTTTAATTTCATCGCTTGTTACACAGCACGACTCTACCGTTGGTTGTAATTCAAGGGCTAAGCTTTAATTTCACAGTACCCGAGCAACCGAAGATCGATCCCCGCGCGCACCAATGAAATTGTTAATTGCAACATTTAGTGCTGATTTACCACGTGCTCGACGGTGAAACAAAACATCGTGAGAACACCCGCATGCCTGAGGTATGAAACGGCTTTGACGGCTCCGTGGCGCAGCGCTAAGGACCGCGGGTTCGAATCACCGCCCGGAACAAGTATTTGTATAGCCCACAAATTATTATACCGGATCTCGAGTAAACTGTATATAAACTGTTCCCACGATACAGGAGAAAATCCTAGTGTCATGTTAGGGGACACGAAAAGTCCCCTAACATGCACCGAAGCAGCGTGAAGAACTAACAGCTGCATAAGCCTCTCGTAAATTAGAAGCCTGTGTCCAGGCTGCAGGTCAACGTAACGCCCTGGAAATGAGGTGATCGCTACCAAGCTATTTCTAATTTTTGTGTAACATAACATATGATTGTAGACCGTTTTTAAAAGGTCACTCTAGGTTTCTAACTGAATTTTTTTTATAGGATAGGGTGACAAACGAGCACACAGTCCACCTGGTGGTAAGTGGTTGCTGTGGCCCATAGACATCTACATTTATCCTCGTTTGCGAATCAAAATGCAGATGCGTTGTCACCCGTGAGGACTAAGATGGAATGCCTCTTTTCCAGTAAAAAGGGTCTCCGGTTCTCTACACTCACCATACGAAACACAGCAGTGTTAAGCTGCTATTTGACGCAGGTATTCTGTGAGAGAGTGGTCCTTCCCCGGTCAAGCCGACCCATTCGTGCTACAACTATACTACTAATATAGCTGCAGCACGGCTCTACCGCGTACAAATTCTCCTAGAACAGAAGTATTTTCCGTACCAATGGTAAATTGGATACGATTGACTTTCAATAAGTATTATTTATAATCTGTACTGAGTAAAAAAGTTTCCGTTTCTGTTTCTATAAGTGTAGAACCACTTCAGTCCCAATTCACATTGTCTATTAGTCGCATATCTCCACAGACAGATTCTTTACGACGTATGATATGAAAATAACTCCCTACGCGTGCACAAAATATCCGGAAGACTGCTTGCTATTTTAGATACAAGGAGGCCTCACGGGAGCTTCGCGTCATGAGTACTTCCAAGTAATATATAAATAATATTATACCGTTGGTACGATCCCCGCACGCACCAATGAATTTATTTATTGCAATTTTAAGTGCCAATTTACCACGTGCTCGGCGGTGAAGGTAAACATAAAAAAACTGGGTTTTTTGCTGATTCTTCCCAGGACAGAGGTATTTTCAGAATCAGTGGTAAATTAATTTATACGTGGTAGAGCCATGCCGCAGCTATATTAGTAGTATAGTTGTAGCACGAATGGGTCGGCCCGACCGGGGAAGGACCACGCTCTCACAGAATACCAGCGGAAAATAGCAGCTTAATGCTGCTATGTTTCGTATGGTGAGTGTAGAGAACCGGAGACCCTTTTTACTGGAAACTAGGCACTCCATCTTAGTCCTCACGGGTGACAACGCATCTGCATTTTGATTCGCAAACGAGGATAAATGTAGATGTCTATGGGCCACAGCAACCACTTACCATCAGGTGGACTGTGTGCTCGTTTGTCACTCGATCCTATAAAAAAATGAATCAATTAAAAAAAAATATTATGTCTATATTAAATAAAAAATATTGTATTCTATTAATCGTGACAAAACCTGCATGTCTCAGAAATATCAAAATAATATTATGAAAGCATATGAAGCATTATGAAGTTCGTCAACACGCATTGGGGCAGCGCAGCGCGGCGAACACTTCCTTGCCCTAAAACCCTCTTAGAAATGAGAAGAGACCTGTGCCCAGCAGTTGAGACGTATATAGGCGGTAACTTTGTATCGTTGGTGCGTGTGTTAGGGATCGTGTAACTTCCGAACAACTTGGCCGATTCATATTCTCACAATTGTTTTGTCGAGACGAAGGTTAGAGAACAGGAGACCCTTTTCACTGGAAACGAAGAATTCCATCTTAGTCCTCAGGGGTGATAACGCATCTGCATTTTGATTCGCAAACGAGGATAGATGTAGATGTCTATGGGTCATAGCAACTACTTATCATCAGGTTAACTGTGTTCGTTTGTCACCCTTATCCTATAAAAAAAATATCCGAGACATTTAAGATAGATTGCCTCGTTTCCAGTAAAAAAGTGTTCTCCGATTCTCTACTGTCCCCTAAACAAAACAGCAGCATTATGCTGCTATTTTACGCTAGTATTCTATGAGTGCGTTTTATTTTGGTAGTTTGCAATGGTGTGGTAGTTAAGTTACTGACTAATTCTTTACTTTAGCAATAAAATTACATATCCGTGCGACATATTATGTTGCTTTAGTGCCAGTAATTACAAAATCTTATACATTGATAGGTAAACCTTTAGTACAGTTTTTTTTTCCTTTCTTTCGTAATGGACTCGTACCGTCGTACTTTTGCCAATGTCGAGTAATAGGAAATTATTCTTTAAAATAATTTGTTTATAAAATTCCCCACAATATGTTGATGTACGAGTATCCCATTGTGGAGTTTTTTTTTTATCTTTCTTTCGTAATGGACTCGTACGGTCGTACTTTTGCCAATGTCGAGTAATAGGAAATTATTCTTTAAAATAATTTGTTTATAAAATTCCCCACAATATGTTGATGTACGAGTATCCCATTGTGGAGTTTTTTTTTATCTTTCTTTCGTAATGGACTCGTACGGTCGTACTTTTGCCAATGTCGAGTAATAGGAAATTATTCTTTAAAATAATTTGTTTATAAAATTCCCAACAATATGTTGATGTACGAGTATCTCATTGCGGAGTTTTTTTTATCTTTTTTTCGTAATGGACTCGTACGGTCGTACTTTTGCCAATTGAATTGTTCACAAAATCGAATTTTGCGAACAATTTAAAATAATTTGTTCACAAAATTCCCCACAATATGTTGATGTACGAGTGTCACATTGCGGAGTTTTTGGGAGATTTTGATGACAACTTAAGGCAGCAGACGATCGACGACGACAATATCTCAAGTTCTTATGACACCTTCATTATATTATACGTGGTAAAGCCACGCTACAGCTATATTATGGTTGTAGTAAGGCTCGACCGGGGAAGAATCACGCTCGCGCAGAGTATCAGAGTAAAATAGCAGCTTAATACTGCTGTGTTTCGTATGGTGAGTGAAGAGAACCGGAGACCCTTTTTACTGGCAAAGATGCACTCCATCTCAGTCCTCACTGATGACAACGTATCTGCAGTTTGATCATTAATTGAGGATAAATGTATGATAATGTATAACAGAAAAATACCATAGCGGACAAAATAGCTTAAGGTTTGTATCAAAATTGGAGTACTTTCGTCGTTTCCACCAAAAAGTTCACATGCGTAGTCGGTTAATACAAGCAATAGCATCACTTTGACGTATCAAAATCCATTTTAAACTCATAATTCAACGATCTAACAGGAGCAGCAATCCACATCAAGTTTCGGACAAAACCCCCTTTGATCGGGTTATTATAAAAAAAAAAGTCCTCAACTCATCGCGTCACGGCAGGAGAAAACCTCTGCCTGTCCAGCTAGTCTATACAAATAAATAAAATTGAGGTGTCTGTTTGTAATGTCAAAATAACAGCTTTGTACTACATGCATATGAAAGTATAAACGGTACATATAACAAAAACACAATTTTTTAAATTCTTGTCTGTCTGTCTGTTGGTTCCGGCTAATCTCCGAAAAGGCTGGATCGATTTTGACGGGTCTTTCACTGGCAGATAGCTGATATTATAAGGAGTAACTTAGGCTACTTTAATTTTAGAAAAATATTTAGGGTTCCGAGCAAAACAATTAAAACCCTAAATTACACGCGGGCGAAGTCGCGGGGAACAGCTATTATTAAATATAAAATACATAAACCTAGACCGAGCTGTAAATTTCCATGGAATGAACCTCGAGCGATAT